TCATGCTGGCTGAGGAATTCTGGGAGTTGGAGTCCGCGAGCCTTAAAGCGGCCCAAGTTGGAGACCCCTGGCTTAGAATAGAAGAGATGACCCTTCTGGTCTCTTCCAACTCTATCATTCATGCTGGCTGAGGAATTCTGGGAGTTGGAGTCCACGAATCTTAAAGCGGTGGAGACCCCTGTTTTCAGGCATTGATCAATGCGGGTTCATTACACACGGCCCCACGGACTCTCAAACGCGTGGCTGGAGGCGTCACGTGTGCATACAGGAGCCAAAACAGAGACTTAAAAAAAAAAAAAAAACCTGAACAACCCTGCAGAAATGCAGGATTCGGAGTCCCTCCCTTTGCAAAGGGAGGAGCTTTTTTTTTTTTTTTTTGGCATGGGTGACCAACTTCTAACCATCATCTAGAAACCGACCCTGGTTTGCTGGCTTGGAGCTTCACTTCCAGGCTTGGAAAGTCCCCAATCTGAGTTTAAGGCTTCTGATCTTAAATGGAAAACGCTGGGTTTCCTTTATGACCACTTGCACTTAACCAAGATTGTGGCAGGGATCATCCTGGCTAGGGGTTTCTTTGGCCCCTTTGGCTGAAGGACCGAAGGGCAGGAAAGTCCCCGAGCTGAAGAGAAGTTGGCTTCTTTCTTTCTTTCTTTCTTTCTTTCTTTCTTTCTTTCTTTCTTTCTTTCTTTCTTTCCTTCCTTCCTTCCTTCCTTCCTTCCTTCCTTCCTTCCTTCCTTCTTTCCTTCTTTCCTACCTACCTACCTACCTACCTACCTACCTACCTACCTACCTCTGTCTGTTTTTGTCTTTCTTCTTTCTTTCTTTCCTCCCTCCCTCTCTCTTTCCCTTTCTGTCTGCCTGTCTTTTCTTTCTCTTTCCTCCCTATCTCTCTCTTTCTGTCTCTTTCTTTGTGAAGGCCAAAAATAGCCGCCTCAGGTTCGTTCCTTGGCATGCATATTTTCCAATGAGACAAACCATGACAGGAAGATCATTTTATTACAATTTATCAGAATATTCAGACAAAAGGGATTCCTCTCATGCAAAGAGGGAACCAGGATCCTAAACTTACCCCCACTTTTTAAACTTAACATAACAAAGAACACTGAAAGAGGAAAGTTGATTGGACAGCCCAAAAGTAACCTCCCCTTTGCACAGGAAATCAGTTATAGGTAGTCAAACATGTCACATATTTGCATCCCATAATACCGTAGCACACGTGTTCATTAAAATGAGGTCTGGTGTCTGAAGGGGCCTAAACTTTAAGGAAAAAGGTGGTTTGGAGTTCTCGAAAGAGAGTGCTAACAACCTTTTTCTTATCTGGAGCTGGCCTCCAGCCAGTTTTATCAATTTAGGGATATTCAAGGCTGATAAACTTGGACATCATTTTAAAAGAGGGAAAAGAAATCAGATTAAAATATAAAGTAACTATGCTTGTTAACAAATTGCAAAAACCCATGTCATTTGCCCTTCACTGTTTTTCTGTCTCTTTCTCATTTCCTTCCTTCCTTTCTTTCTCTTTTCCTTTCTTTCCTATGTAACTTTCTGTCTCTGTTTTTCTCTTCTTCCTTCCTTTCTCTTTTCTCTTTCCTTTCTTTCCTCCCTGTGTATCTTTCTGTCTGTTTTTCTCCTTCCTTTCTCGTTTCCTTTCTTTCCTATGTATCTCTTTCTGCTCTGTTTTTCTGTCTTTCTCTTTTTCTTTCTCTTTTCCTTTCTTCCCTCCCTATCTCTTTCTCTCGTTCTCTCATCTCTTTTTCAATCCCCCCCCCCCCCCTTTTGGGCCTGCTGCAATTGAGACCCTCCGCCTGGATTACAGCAAGGCCCTTGGCCATGTTTGCTTACCTGCAAAAGAATTTGCTTTTGCCATTTTTCTCTCAAAAGGGAGGAGAATGTTGGGCCAATTCTCCTGGGTGATAACATGGCCAAGGAATTCCCTGTTGTTGTTTTTGTTCCTTTTGCAAATCTTCTCCTTTAGCTTCCTTTAATCCCACAGGAGGATTTTAGGAGAAATTTCCTTTCAGGATGAATTTTCAGATTGCAAAGTGTTGCTCTGTGTGTGTGTGTGTGTGTGCGTGTGTGTGTTGGGGGTGGCTTTCAGAATGAGTGGAAAGGTGCACCCCAAAGATTTGCCACCTCCCAATCACCAGATTGGGCGACAAACGCATCACTGAGAAATTTCAGAGAAATCCTTAAGCATCCCAAGGACAAGGTAGAAAAACGAAGATGAAGGTTGGGATTTTTCAGCTGGCAGATATTAAAAAGAAAATGACCCAAACATCTGATTGGATTTCCAGCAATTCTTAGAGAATTTTAATGCACAGAACTGGAGTAATATATGCACACACAAAAAAGAAAAAACCCACCCAGTTTTCTCTGATTATAATATTCGGAATACAGGTAGTCCTCAAACCACAACAGATCATTTACTGACTGAGAGTTATGACCGTTGGTCACACGTACAACTTTGTAGCATCCCCTTTGGTCATGTAGTCAAAATTCAGGTGCTTGGCAATCGACTCCTACGATGGTTGAGGTGTCCCTGCGAATCCCTTTTGCAACCTTCTGACAAGCAAAGTCAATGGGAAAACCAAATTCATTTAACAACAGTGTTGCTAACTTATCAACTGCAGTGATTTACGTAGTAACTAAGACAAGAAAGGTCGTAAATTGGAGGAAAATTGTTCTGACCCAAACCCTTTTCCAATAAAACAAGCACGAACCAAAGGGAACCTTTTAATGATTCTTACGAATCCCCAGTTAAAAGGCTGCTACAAACTAACTTTGATAAGCACGAGCCTTGCCAAAACTATGCAAGACTGCCAAGAATAACAGATAAGAAATATTTTACAACACAAAAGAGTCTTCAAATACAAACTCAGGATACTGGAATGTCCACGAGGCTGGAGGTTCAAAACGTCTTTGCCTTCTGCAAAGAAGGTCAGTTTCACAGCTGGCTTTTATCTTCTTGAAGGAGGGGCCATTACCTTGCAGCCTTACTCCCGAGTCACCCGTGCAGCTGCAGCTGCTCTTTCCTGCGAGCAATCCTGCACGCATGTGCACTTAGCACAGGCTCCTCGGGAACCTCCTCATCGCTGCTGCCAGCCCCCACAATCTCCCCACAAGGCAGCAGTCCACTCCCCGATGGTCCTGGCCCCTCATCTGAGTCCTCGCTCTCCTCAGCCATCCGCACCTGCTGCCGGCTAACCACAACAAAAATTCACATAGCAACTGTCTCACTTAGCAACATAAACTTTGAGCTCTTTTTTTAAAAATATTTTTTTATTTTATTTTATGCAAACAATCCGTCTTCAGTTTAAAAAGCATGTAGCCTGGATACAAATATATTAAAAAGCATGTAGCCTGGATACAAATATATTGAACGATAACAATTACAATTAGTAAATTTTCATTACTACAATATCAGTACTCTATTCTTACTTTATACTACTATGCACAATGAATCTTATTGTTATCGCAATCCCCTTCTTAGCCTATTTAATTCTTATTCACTTGTTTACTATTTTTCACTAGTCTTCTTTCATTGTCTAATTTCCATTTCTATTCTCCAGCCATTGATAAAATAATTCCCATATCATATAATATTCAGTTTGTTCTTTTTCTTTGATTGCAAGTGTTAACCTATCCATTTCTGCACATTCTAATATTTTCCTGATCACATTCTCGTCTTTCGGAATCTTTTAGCTTTTCCAATTTTGTGCAAATACAATTCTAGCTGCAGTTAATACATGATTAATTAAATATACCTTTTCTTTACTATTTATTTCAGGTATAATCCCCAAAAGATTGGGCTCCATTGTGGTTGTAAATTGAGAACCTATACAGTACATTTTGGGTTCTTCTTTCAACCGGATTCTTAATTTTTGCATTTTTGTTGCTGTGTCTCAAATCCTGCAAGCTTTGACCTGCTCAGATTCTAAATAGTGCTTCACCAACGTTTTATAAAATGAGACCTTTGAACCTGGATGTTATGAGCTTTTGAAATGCAGTTCGCATCTCTCTGGGAGGTAGCTATAAACCAAAGTAAATAAACCAAGAGTCATAGAGACAGGGCAGATTTTTATCTTTGCCTTGTTACAAAAAAATCTTGCAACCTGAACGAGTTATTAACTTTCCACTGGGAGTAGGGTCTGATGATTTTCTACTTCGTAAAAATAGACATTTAATAACAGGGTGAAGGGAGAGTAATCTGCACTTAATCTTTCTGCCTGGTTGTCCCAAACATTCAGTATATCCATTTATTTATTGAGTTTACCTCTTACCATTATTATTGTTTATATAAACAACTCAAGGCAGCGAACATAACCAATATCCCTCCTTCTTCCTAACTTTCCCAACAATAATAACCTTGTAAGGTGGTTGAGAGAGAGTGATGGTTTTCAGAACTAAGAAAGGACTAGAACTCACCGTCTCCTGGTGATTGGCCCATAGCCACCTAGTGTCATGCCCCTGTTGGAATCAGATTCGGAGGGGGAGGACTGAACAGCTGACAGGGAGTGTGAGTGTGGCTCCGTTGGCTGTGGAGGAAACTGGGGAAGGGCAAAGTCCGGCTGGGCAGAGCAGGGAAGAGGTAAAACAAGGGAGAGGGAGTTCAGAGGAAGACCCAGGCCCATCCCTCTTCATCCTAGGGCACTCAGGGAGGAATGGAGAAGGGAGCAATGTGGGTTGTGTGGCTTACGGGGAAGGAAAGGGCCCTGATTCCCTTCATTAGCTGCAGCTGGGAACAGGGTTTACAAAGGGAAGTTGCGCACAGCAAGTTGTTGGGAGAAAATCGTGAATTTATCTGGTATCGTGGAGGCTTTTCTGGGTTCCTGGCGTCTTCCCAACTGTGTGTTTTGCTGGCATTTCAAGTCTGCAATTCCTTCTCTTCCCTGTCCAGTTAATCACTGCAGCCTGGTTTGTGTGGATTTTTATTTACAGTTTGTGTGTACTTTGTTTTCGGACTGAATTTCCTCCACTTAAAGGCTGTTCCTGGGAGAGTTTTTCTCCAGCTGAAGGTAACCTGGACATTGGGGTAAAGTTGGAGATAATAAAGGGACTCTTCTTGCTTTTTTTGATTGTGTTGCCTTTGTGCCACGCCCCTTTGTGCCACGCCCCTTTGTGCCACGCCCCTTTGCCACGCCCCAGTAGGCTTTCATATCTGAGGTAGGACTAGAACTTATAACCTCTTAGCGATTGGCTCAGTCACCTAGCTGGCTTTCATGTTTAAGGCAGGACTAGAATTGTCTATCTCTTGGTGATTGGCCAAGGTCACCCAGCCACCGTTCATTCTTAAGTCAGAACTAGAACTCACTATCTCCCGGTTTGCAGCCTGGGGCCTTAACCACGAGTCCAAACTGGCTCTCTTTTATGAGCTCTTACAAATAGGTTTTTTTTTTTTTTTGGTATCATATCTTCCTGCAAACCATTTACAAGTCCTGCCCTTTTGATAGAAGTAACTGGGCCATAATGGGATTTATTCTCCTCTTGAGACCCCTATTAAGCACCAACTTAATTTGAAATTGGGAGCTGCTGGTCCATCTTGCTATTTGTCGACTCCTGCATAATCTGGAAATAAATCCTTGGTGTTTTATTTGGAAATGCTTACCTACATGGACAGAACCAAAACAATGGGAGATTGTCTCCAACCTTGGCGACTTTAAGACTTGTGGACTTCAACTCCCAGAATTCCTCAGCCAGTATAGGTGGCTGAGGAATTCTGGGAATTGAAGTCCACCAATCTTAAAATTGAAGATGTCTGTGGTTCTGGGCTGCCCATAAACCTGGTTGCACAAGGGGTTTCCAAACTCTGCGACTTTAAGGTTTGTGGACTTGGAACTCCCAGAATTTCTCAGCCAGACATGCTAGCGGGAAGTCCACAAGTCTTTATTTCTGGGCTGCTCGTCAATCTGATTGCACAGAGGTCTCCAGCCTTTGGCCACTTTTAAGAAGTGTGGACTTCAACTCCCACAATTCCTCAGCCAGCAATATAATCTCAAATAATTCCAATCACTGGGATTCCAGCGAAGAGATGAGAAGAGAGGGGCATTTTTTCAGACGGCCCTTTAGCCTTGGAGAAAATGGCCTCTTTGTTGGATGCGCCAGCCAGTTGCTATTTGTGAATTGGCAACACAAGTGTGTAAATAGCCGGCTTCCAAATGCCCTTTGAAGCAGCAATTGAAATGACCTTCAGACTTCTTTCCGAGGAATTCTGGAGTTCCTCATCGGGTTTCTTAAGAGCAGTTTCGCTTTCTCATTACACAGCGAGGATAGTAACATTATTTAATATAAACAATAATATAGTAATATAAATAGATATATAACCAGAGGCACAAAGTGCACCTAGTGTCAGTGTTCAAAAGCATGCCATATTTCAAATACAGGTAGTCCTTGTCTAAACAAGAATTCATTTGTCAGGATTCCGGCAATTCAGTGGTGGCTTCTTAAGCTCCTGTGCTAAAAATTGTGTGCGCGCTTGCACTCGCAGGCTCACGTGCCAGCACCCAGAAGGCAATGCGCACGCTCCCCCCCATGCTCCCTGCACATGCACGCGCAATCCCCCCCACCGCCGCCCCCTTACCTGCACTGCACCTCCCTGCTGATTTTCGGCCTGTTTGAGGCCTTTTTCAGCCTCCCCAAGGCTTGAGGAAAGCTTCTGCAGGCTTTGCAGGCTGAAAAATGGGCCCGTTTCATCACTTCCGGTATTTCCGGAAATACAGGAAGTGACAAAACGTCCTGCAAAGCCTCTGGGAGGCTGAAAAAGGCCTCAAACAGGCTGAAAATCAGCTGTGAGGCATGTGCAGTGAGGTAAGTTTGCCTGCGGCTCCCGTGCCAGCACAAATGGCTCTGTGTGCCACCTGTGGCACACGTGCCATAGGTTTGCCATCACGGCCCTAATTAAATCATGAGCCTCGAACCAAGCTTCAAAAGAATCCATAAGATTTATTAGGAGCAATATGTCTGGCATTAACCCATATGAAATCAACTCTGAGACACACAATTTACTATCACCTATGACCCTATTTCCCCCTCCACCAGCCCTTTGGGTGTGTCATCAATCACATTCTCCAATGAAGGATTTTCGGGGGCAGAAGCTACAATCTTTGTAAGATAAGCATGGAATGTACTTCTAGTTCTAAACTGCTGTACTGTTTCTTTAGACTTTCCAACCCCCCTCCCCCCCTTGTTTATGGCAACTCAAAAGCAGGCATAGGAACGATTTACGAGTTGACATCATTTAGTTACCATTCCAAGTTACAGCCGCACTGAAAAAGTGACTTACGAACAGTTTTCACACTTACGACCGTTGCAGCGTCCTCCGTGGGTCACCCAATCAAAATTCAGATGCTTGGCAACTGACTCCTATTTATGATGGGGACGGTATTCTCAGGTTACGTGACCCTTTTGCGGCCTTCTGTATGAGCGAAGTCAATGGGGAAGCCAGATTCACTTAACAACTGTGTTAATAATTTAATAGAGGCAGGAATTTCACTTAACAAGAGCTGACACGACATGACTCTGGAACCCTGGGCCAGGGGCTGAGCGTCCGAATGTTGATCCTGTGACCTTGAAGATTTTAACAGTGGTCGTAAGTGTGAAAAATGGTCGTAAGCCACTTTTGTTCGTTGCCTTTATCAGTTTGAACGGCCACTGAATGAACTGTTGTAAGCCGAGGACTGCCTGTCGTGGAGATTAAGCTGTTCCTCTTCTTTTCCTAGTCACTAACTGGATATGTCTGACCGGGGGAAAGGACTGGCTGAAGAGGAGGTGAAGAGATATATCTATCGCAACCTAGCCATGTTCCATCGCGTCCAAGTGAACCAAATGATCCACTTGCAATGTCTCACCGAAACAGACCGGGTAATTACATGGATGTTCCCTTCCCCCCTGGACCCTTTGTGTAAAAATTGGGGCTGCTGGTAAACGTTTTTGAATTGATAGCATTAACACTTCGACTTATATACCGTTTCAGAGTGCTTTACAACCCTCTCTAAGCGGTTTGCAGAGTTGCATCTTGCCCCCCCCCCCCCCCCCCCCCCCCAACAATCTGGGTCCTCATTTTACCCACCTCGGAAGGACGGAAGGCTGAGAACCTTGAGTTGGTCAGGATCGAACTGCTGGCAGTGAGCAGATTTAGCCTGAAATACTGCTTTCTAACCACTGTGCCATAAGGAAGAAGAATGAGAAAGGGAAATAAGAGAGGAAGGGAGGGAGGGAGGGAGGGAGGGAGGGAGGGAGGGAGGGAGGAAGGAAGGAAGGAAGGAAGGAAGGAAGGAAGGAAGGAAGGAAGGAAGGAAGGAAGGAAGGAAGGAAGGATAGCAATCGCACTTAGACTTATATATCGCTTCACAGCCCTCTCTAAGCAGTTTACAGAGTCAGCGTATTTCCCCTCAACAATCCAGGTCCTCATTTTACCCACCTTGGAAGGAGGAAAGAACGAGTCAACCTAGAGCCTGGTGACATTCGAACTGCTGGCAGTGGGCAGAATTAACCTACAATACTGCATTCTAACCACTGTATCAGAAGGAAGGAGAAGGAGAAAGGGAAATAAGAGAGGAAGGAAGGAAGGAAGGAAGGAAGGAAGGAAGGAAGGAAGGAAGGAAGGAAGGAATAGCAATAGCACTTAGACTTATATCCCACTTCACGGTGCTTTCCAGACCTCTCTAAGTGGTTTACAGAGTCAGCCTCTTTCCCCCAACAATCAGGATCCTCATTTAACCCACCTTGGAAGGATGGAAGGCTGTGTCAGAATGTTGAGCCAGTCAGGATCGAACTGCTGGCAGTGGCCAGACTTAACCTGCAATACTGCATTCTAATCACTGCATCACCAGGAAGGAGAATGAGAAAAGGAAATGAGGAAGGAAGGAAGGAAGGGAAGGGAAGGGAAGGGAAGGGAAGGGAAGGGAAGGAAGGAAGGAAGGAAGGAAGGAAGGAAGGAATAGCAATAGCAGACTTATATATCGCTTCACAGGGCTTTACAAGCCCTCTAAGTGGTTGCTGAGTGAATCTAGCTTCTCCATTGACCTTAATTATCAGATGGTCACAAAAGGGGATTACATGTCCCTGAGACATTGCAACTGTCATAAATGTGGGTCAGGTGTCAGGTTTCTGAATGCAAATCATGTGAGCAGGGGGGTGCTACAACAAAGGTCCTAAGTTACTTTTTTCAGTGCCGTTGTAACTTCAAATGGTTACTCAACAAACAGAAAGTCGGGGACTTTCTGTGTTTGCCGCAGCTCCTGCCCACCTAGCAGTTTGAAAGCCTGCAGCTGCAAGTAGATAAATAGGTACTACTTCGGTGGGGGAAGTTAACAGTGTTCCGTGAGCCTCGGTGTGGAGTCATCATAAACCCCCAGCAAAGAATATTCTTTCTGTGCCAACTCAGGAAGCTCAAACTGCCCAAGGAGCTGCTGATCCAGTTCTATAGAGGAATGATTGAGTCTGTCATCTGCACCTCTATCACTGTCTGGTTTTGCCCTGCAACCCAACAGGACAGACCCAGACTTCAGAGGATAATTAGGACTGCAGAAAAAACAATGGCTACCCACCTGCCTTCAATGGAGGACCTGTATATCCTGCACGAGTCAAGAAGAGGGCTGTGAAAATATCTACAGACCCCTCACATCCCGGACATAAACTGTTTCAACTCCTTCCCTCAAAACAACACTATGGAGCCCTGCACACCAGAACAACGAGACACAAGAACAGTTTTTTCCCCGAAAACCATCACTCTGCTAAACAAATAGTTCCCTCAACACTGTTCAACTATTTACAAAGTCTGCACTACTATCACTGTTAATCTTCTCATCACTCCTTATCACCCATCCCCTCCCACTTGTGACTGTAGGACTGTGACTTTGTCACTTGTATCCTTACGATTTATATTGACTGTTTCCTAGTACAATCGGATTGCTTATTTGTACCCTACGACTATTATTAAGTGTTGCACCTGATGATTCTTGACTCTTGACAAATGTCTCTTTTATGTACACTGAGAGCATTTGCACCAAGACAAATTCCTTGTGTGTCCAATCACACTTGGTCAATAAAGAATTCTATTCTATTTTTTATTCTATTCTATTTTTTATTCTATTCTATTCTAGTCTAGTCTAGTCTAGTCTAGTCTAGTCTAGTTTAGTCTAGTCTAGTCTAGTCTAGTCTTTATTCTAATTCTATTTTATTCTTTATTCTATTCTATTCTATTCTATTCTATTCTATTCTATTCTATTCTATTCTATTCCTTATTCTATTCCTTATTCTATTCTGTTCTATTTTTATTTCTATTCTATTCTTTATTCTTTTCTATTCTTTATTCTATTCCTACTTGTATTCTATTCTATGCCATTCACATGACCAACGAAGCATCTTTGGACAAACACCATCTCCCTTGGCTAAAGGACAGAGATGGCGGGACGGGGGGGGGGGAAGCGTTCCCTTTTTACAACTTTTTGTCCCCCCCCCCTTTTCGCAGCAAAAGATCAAAGCCAACTGCGCCAACGAAGGAAACAACGAGACCACGTTCCTTTTCTTCCAACACTTGTGCTGCAGGGAAGGCTGGGTGATGTACTTCATAAAAGCTCTCCGCGAACAGCAGATGGGCGACTTGGCTGACAAGCTGGAACGCATCTATCGCAGCAGACTCCTTCGTAAGATGCTTTTTCTCATCTCGCAGATTGTTTTGGGCTCTTTGGAGCAAACAGCTGCCTGTCAGGACTCCGGCAGTTCCCCCATTTAAATCATGAGTCTCAGGCCAAACTTCCAAAACTTCCAAAGGATTTATTGGGTGTTATCATGTCCGGCACTGCCTGGGTGTAGCTGACTCTGAGCACATCATTCATTGTCACCCCTGCACCCCTCTGGGTGTATCATAATTCATATTCTCCAATGGGACACGTCCATAGCCCAGAGTCATCAATTGTGCTCTCCAGTTAGAATTTTGCACGGCAGAAACTACGGTCACCTAGTTACTATCTCTGAAAACATTTATGGAATGCGCTTTCGGATTGCAAGCTGCCGCGATGCTCCCTTTCTGTTGGCAACTCTAAAAAGACCATAGAAATATTTTATGAGTTGACATTTGGCTTTGCAAGGTTGGCATCTTTGGGACCCCCCCAAAGCCCCCCCTTTCTTCCCCCCAAAAAAAGAAGGTCTGGGAGAACTTTGGAGGTCTCCAATAACTAAACCAAGGCCTTGGGTGAAGTCGAATTTTGTTTGTCCCTAAAGTATTTGTCTTCTCTGGTATCCGGAACTGCGATACAGGTAGTCCTCGACTTATGACCACAATTGGGAGCAGAATTTCAATGGGTAACTGAGGCAGTTGTTAAGTGAGTGGCATCCCATTTGACAATATTTATTTTTTGGCTGTGGTTGTTAAGAATAACAAAGTTGGAAGGGACCTTGGAGGTCTTCTAGTCCAACCCCCCCTACTCAAGAGGAGCCCCTCGGCCATTTCAGACAAGTGGTTGTCCAGTCTCTTCTTGAAAATCTCCAGTGATGGAGCAGCCACCACTTCTGGTGGCAAGGAGTTCCACTGGTTAATGAGTGTCAGTCAATTTCTCCTTAGTTTTAGATTGGTTCTCTCCTTGGAAAGATTTCTCTCTCGAAGAGATGTTTCTCTAACTGGCAGGAATAGCTAACACCCAAGAAGATAGGCTGAAGATCCAGATGGATCTTGACAGACTAGAACCCTGGGCCGTATCTCACAAAATGAAATTCAATGTAGAGAAAAGGAAAGTCCTCCACTTAGGCAAGAAAAACCAAAAGGACACATATACACTGGGTGAAACCAGGCTCAATAGCAGGAACTGGGAGAGGGATCTTGGAGTCTTAGTAGACAACCAGCTAAACATGAGCCAGCCGTGTGCAGCAGCAGCCAAAAAAGCCAATGCAATCCTAAATTGCATTAACAGAGGGATACAATCCAGATCAAGGGAGGTACTAATACCACTCTATGAAGTCTTAGTAAGGCCACACCTAGAGTATTGCATTCAGTTTAAAATCTGAAACTCCGTGTTGAATTTGTGCTCCATTTTGGCCTTGTATAACGAATTGCAAATTTATTCGTTGGCAGCATTTCAAGGGAGATAAAGGTGGGTGCTTATCAGACTTACCCTGAAGGATTTTGGCAGACTTACACGGGACTATTTACAAACTGTTGGAGACTCTTTACAGGCTGAGAATGACTAAAATTCCCAGCCGTTGAAATAAAGAAAAAAGGGGTTTGGAACAAACGTGTTTGTTAGTGTGTCCATAAGCCTTGGTCAAAACATTGTGGGCTCAAGGGATGGTTGTAAGTTGAGGACTGCCTGTATGTGGGGAAGATTTTGGGAGACCCATATAAGGGGTACCTAGGCAAGTGGTGGCTAACCTTTTTGGACTCCTGTGCCAAAAATTGTGCGTGCACTTGTGCTCGCGTGCCAGCACCCAGCAGGCAATGTGTGCGTCCCCCCCACCAATCACCTCTCCCCGCTCCCTTACCTGCATTGTGCCTCCCAGCTAATTTTGGGGCCATTTGAGGCCTTTTTCGGCCTGCCAGAGGCTTGAGGGAAGCCTGTGCAGCCTTTGCAGGCTGAAAAATCGGCCCGTTTCGTCACTTCCGGTATTTCCGGAAATACAGGAAGTGACGAAACGGGCCTATTTTTTGGCCTGCAAAGGCTTTCCTCAAGCCTCTGGGAGGCCGAAAAAGGCTTCAAACAGACCAGAAAATCAGTTGTGATGCGCGCGCATGCGCAGTGAAATAAGTTTGCCTGCGGCTCGCGTGCCGGCACAAATACCTCTGAGTGCCACAGGTTCGCCATCACGGACCCAGGCAATGGTCAGATAAGAGGCAGCATAGCCCTGAGTGGGATAATGGGTGGGGAAGGAGGTTCACGAGAGACTCTCTTGGGTTGTAAACGAGATGGAAGAATTGTACTTTCTGACTTGCAAACTTCTGCTAATGTGGTTTTACAATACAGGTCGTCCTCGACTTATGACCACAATCAAGGCCAATTTATTTCTGTTGCTAAGTGAGATTAGCAACTCTCCCGCTTAGCAACATGGAATTTGAACAGAAATGCTCCATTTCTTTCTTCCCACCCGTGGCTAAGCGAATCACTGCCGTTGTTCAGTGAGGAATGCGGTTGTTAAGAGGACCCGGCTTCCCCCGTGACTCTGCTTGTCTCAGGAGGTCGAGGAGGGCATGGCGTGGCCCCCGGGAAACACTGCGACCGTCTCGCTGTGAGGCGATTGCCAAGCAGCCGAATTCGGATCACGGGATTGTGGGGATGGTGCAACGGTCGTAAGTGCGAAAAACCATCCTAAGCTACTTTGAACGGTCACTAAGCAGACGGCTGTAAAGTCGAGTAAACTATCTGTAAAGTAGAATTAGGTCACCTGGTGGCGTTTCCTGTCTGGTCTGCCTGGTAGGGCTGACACTGCATCCTTTCTCTCTCTCTCTCCCTCTCTCTCCCCCCCCCCACATGTAATGCCCACCTGCGTGCAACAATGTCCTCCCCCAGCCCCCAGGACCCCTCCAGCGGCTTCAGCACCCCCAGCTGCCAGTCGGCCTTCGGCTCCGCCTCTCCAGCCTGACGTGAGTGAGCTGAGTCGCCCTGAAAACTTTGTTGAGGAAGCCCTTCCGTGGTCTCCCTCGCGATCGGCCGCTTCATCTGCCAATCTGCCCCCCCAGGATATGGGGGATTACCGGACTCCCGTTCAAGAAAACAGCCATCCGGTAGGTATCCATGTCTGTGTGTATGAAGGCATGCGTGTATGCA